TCCCCCTCCCCAGTCCCTCTCCCCACCATTGTCCGTGTCCTTGGGTTGTGCATAGATGCATATAAATTCTTTGGTTACTCTCTCCCCCTCCACCCACCCACCCTCCTCCATCCCTCTGACATTCGTCAGTCTCATCTATGCTTCCATGTCATTGAATCTATTCTGCTCATCAGTTTATTAAGTTCTTTAGACTCCACGTATAAGCGAGATCATGTGATGTTTGTCTTTTGCTGCCTGGCTTATTTCACTTAGCATAATATTCTCCAGGTCCACCCATACTGTCCAAAGGGTATGAGATTCCAAGTTTTTAAATTGAAGTCATTCTGAAAACTGGATAACGCTGTGAAGTCCATCTCTCCTATATTTCTGTGGATGGTTTGTATTTTATTCAAATGCGTTAAATGGAACACTTGGGATCACACAAAAGGAGCAGTCTTCTGACTGCTTCATCACTCCACTGCTTGCTTTGTTGATGTCCTGGGCACTCATCAGTTGGCTCATGGGGCACAAGGCCGTCTCTGGTCTTGTGTTCTCTCTCAGGCCACTGCTTCTGGACTTATTCGGACAAAACTGTTCAAAGCAAACACTGTCCAAATAGTTCTCTAATTGGCTCTTCTCGTCTTACTTCACAGTTTCCTTCCATCACAGCACCTTATTCCAAAACTTCAGTTCCCTCTTATAGATGAAATTAGAGTAGCATCCCTGGTCCTGAATTCTTCCCTGGGTTTCTCATCCACAGCTTCAACTATTTCGTGGAACATGCTAAGTATGTATGTGTGCTACTACCTAAAAACCCCCTCAAAACACCTTGTATTATGCAGTTATCCTCCTTCTTCCACTTTTTTTACCCCAAATCTATCATAGCTCCTTCATGTTCCAATTCAAGGCATCACCATCTCCATCAAAAAGCTCAAAATCATCGTGTTTAATTTATTCTTTCCCTTAACTCCAGCTTTTCATCTGGTTAGTCAGACATTTAATCTTATCAGATCGATCATAACATTCTCTCAACCCACTTTTTAAATCATCTTTTCCTCTAATTAAACTCTCAGCAATTAGGGTTTCTTTTCCTCCAAAATTCTATCTTACCATTATATCCAGCTTTCTTCCCCCAATCTGCATAACTCCTCAGTGCCTATATTACTGAGTTCAAACTCTATAATATGCTATTTAAGACAATTCAGAATCTGGCTGCAGCAATTGTTTTTTTTAACTGTATCCCACTGTAGATGCTTTCTCCTGTACATCCACTTACATTACTCTCATCCTATCAAGAATGTTTCATTTTTAAATGATTATATGCTGATGAAAACTAGTATTATTTTAAATTTTATTTTACTTAATTAAGCAACTTAATGTATTGAATGCACTTATTTTAACATTCCACAGTAAGACACAGTAAATGGATAATTCATTTAGGATGAAAGCTCTGTTAAGATTATAATAAAAACAAATCAACTAGTAATCAATTTGTTTGCATAAAAAAATCAAATTAGAATTACAAGAAAACAACAGTCATCTCAACTAGAATATATTGGTCATTATGTAATAATGTTTCATGCAATTTTATGTAATTAATAAGGCTTTGCAAATCTCTTCCCTTCTTTATGTAAAATTTTTATTAAATACTATGCTCTTACATAACTGATTTTTGCAGATTTGTTATTTGTGTTTTTTTACTAATTTCACCACAAAATATAGTAAGAAACTTCCGCACCACAGATCTTCGATGCTCTATTTTTAAAAGTCCTCAGAGAAACTCAAACTATTCTGTAAGATGATATATTAAATAATGCTTACTCCTTTAACTGAAACTTTTTGAGACAATTAAAATGTAAAAGTAGATCTTTAAGAAAGGTAGCACTTCCATATTTTATTAAATATACTTAGTATTTTGTTTATATTAATGTGAATAAATCATCAATGGATATTTCCCTTTGTCATCTATTGGAACCATGGTGCCTTAAACGAAAGCATAAATTGTGCCCTTAGTCCCCTATTTTAAATAATGTGTAAGTCGTAAAAATTATAGGACTACATGTTCATGAATGAAATACTATAAATTTACTTAAGATTAGATGCAAATATGTTAGCCTTTCATATTGCCTAATATAGTATTTTAATTTTCACTTTTTAGTGAATTCCCTAAGGAATTTTGAGAAGATGCAAAATGCGTAGGCTTCAAGGAACCGTTAAACCCTTCCACACTAGGCACCTGAAGAACCAAAGTAACAAAACTCTTTTATTACCTGGTATGATTAATATCAGAAAATACTTTTCATCTGCTGTCTGTTTACTGAGAGACCTACCCGGTATTTAAATAGAAGTCCTCTTTGTGCACGGCCAGGCAGATAACTTCATTGATATTAATGGTGCCATTAGGAGTGGTGGACTTATCATTTTCATAGTAACTCAGGAAGCCTCCTTCCAAAACACACCACTTTTTATTTGTCTCTAAGAATTTAAAACAAAACAATAAAATTGAACTGAGTCACGACTCTAATTTGAAAAAATACATGGTTTAAATAATGACTAGATTCAAATAAACTTATTTTCTATTTCGTGTAAAGAGCACGCTATTGATTCATGACATATAAAGTTGTCATACTCTGCTCTCCAAACATTTCTAGCAAGGGCTGTACTAGACAAAAATAGCTATGACACTGATGACCAGTGAAGGACATAAAAGACAGCTGCAAACAACCCTGAAACAGCAACGATGGAGGTCTACAGACACTTAGGAAGGGCAAAGTGTAGGGTAAAAAGCAAGACTATGGCTGACCTCTGGTGTGCAAAGGAAGAAGGAGTGAGAACATGCAGTTCCCTTAATGCCTTGATGAGGAACTTAAAATTCATCTCGTAAGGTTAATGTGCTATGGCCTGGAGGCCAAAAGGCCAAACCCAGGCCATCACTAGTTCCTGTCAGTGAAGGGTCACTGACACACAGCCACACCCATTCATTTACAGATCCTCTGTGGCTGCACTCCCACTGCAAGGGCAGATCGGAGCTGTGGCACAGACTATCCCGCCCACAAAGCTAAGAATATTTACTCTGTGGCCCCTTTCAGAAGTTTGCTGAGTTTTGATTTTGCAGTTGATGGTGAGCCATTAAATTGGTTTCAGCAGAGGATTCTAATCAGGTTTGTGTTTACTGTGAAAAATGGATCTGAGAAGGTGAGGCCAGGGGCAGAAAATCAGTTAGGATACTGTTGACAGAAGTCTATCTGAGAGACGAAGACCGCCCAAAGCAGGCTAGTGGAGCGTAGTAGGGATAAGAAGGAAAGGGGGAGAGAGAAGGGGAGGGGGGAGAGAGAATGAGTGCATGGACTGTGTTCTGAGGAGACAAACATATATTGATTGGATGTAGAGAGTAAGGGGGAACTAATTAACGGTGACACTATTTTTAGTTTTGATTACAAAGCCGGTAGTGATACCCACCTTTATTTAAAAGAAAATATATATAGTTTTAGTGCATGTGATATGAGTTTCCTTTTAGAACACCGAATTAGAGATATCTTGGAGAACCAAGTAGAAATATATATAAGACGATCACCCTATGGGTTTGCATCTTGGGGCAAGCAAAGGTCTTGATAACTAGAAAGTCTTTAGAAGGTAGGTAGTATTTGAAAATATAAGTAACCAAGGAGATAATCTTAGGAAAATTAAAATTGTAAGGAGTTGTCAGCTACACTTTAATCAATATATATGTAAAATAAATAAATAAATTTATATAATAAATTGTAACAGATGTAGAGGGGTCCTTGAAAGCAATGAAGCAAATGAGAAGAGACAGTATATAAAAAGAAAAAGGGTAGAGTATTTCCAAAAAGAATGCCGCTATTAAATATAGCA